ATTCAGTGTTTATGCATGCATCTGCGAGAGTGTTAAATATGATGCATTGGTTGGAAATAGTACCAACTCAAACCCTTTAGCATTTATGGATTTTTCTTTGTGTTTGGTCCACAATCAGTATACTGAGCAGCAGCCCTGTACCACATATAGTTTCAAAGTATATTATCTTGAAATAGATTTCCATGAAGAGATGCAAGAACAACTAAACCTAAGTGAATAATTTGCTGAAACACCTTAAGCCCCTTTCAAACTAAATTACAAAATCAAAGTAGCACTTTCAATAATTATGCTAGTGTTTTTGAATCAGGGTACGAAGGAAAACAAAAATTAACAGTGAAAGTTCCCTCATTCACTTTGTCAACTTGCCCTGATAGGAGAGGAAGTATCTGTTTACTTTGTGATTACGACAATTTTGCTGTCGCGGGGCAGCAAATTCAAACCAGTCATGAGGCTAGATTACTCCAGACAACATGAAGCCCGTACAGCCGCGTATATCCAGTCCTCCGTCATCGGCATGTCTTTATGGTGGCTTCAAAGTAAAATAAACCTTTATACGTAATTACAGAGAATTCTGTATATTTTTATGTCCGTTTCCCTCTAACAAAAAGGGTATATTTTAAGGGCCAAGCATGTCACGCTTAACCACTGGCCTACAAAGTAGATCACACATTGGAGGACCTGACCCGAGTCTCTTGTTTATTCAGAGCAAATTCTAGAGAGAGGGTAAAAGGAGCCTTATTCATTGCTCATTCCAAATCACATGGACTGTCATATTTAGACAGTTCATATATCCCCGCTTCAGAGTTGCCATGTCGTGAAAACATTATCAAAGTAAATATTATGACTGTAGACATGTTCTTTTATGCAAAGAGTGCTAGTGTGAAGTTGGGTCCAATCTTCGGGCCTCGGGCTCGAGCAGGCGGTGAGACAGCTGTGAACATGAAAGCACTGGGGTTGCTTAAAAGCATAACCAGGCTTTCAGATGATTCCTGATTGTGATTTTATTCTGTGCTACTGTTTTTCTTATCAGTCAGTCAGCATTTCATGTCAGGAAACAAGCTAGAGACGAGTTTGGCTGCGTGCCATGTAGACCTGAAAGCGTGCACCTCAGAAACCCCACACGTGTGCATACGGTGAGATCTGGACAGTGTCCCCGTGGCCAGAGAAGGATGTGAGCAATTACCAGTTCTGAAAACACTACTTTACCATAGTTAAATATATTACACGCCTTACACCCGCACCGGCCGTGGCCCTCTCTCACTGCAGCCTGGGATTCGTGGACCTTACAGAAATCCAGCCACCTTCAACAGGCACAGTCTACTGCAATTAACCAATCATCATAATCATCATCATCATTACCATCATCATCATCAAAATCATAAACTCACTGAATGTGCTTTGTACAAGGTGCTTCAACCTAATTTACACCAGCCAGTTTTAGTTTTTGTTTTATTTTCACTTTTCTTATTGAGAGAGAATTTTAAAATATAAGTATAGAGCTTATTTTTAAGATGGTACGAAAATATCCTTATCCTGTTCTGTTTTTTCAGATGTACAGTAAAAGATTTAGGGCAGAATGGGGAGTGTTGCAACACAGGGTTAAAAAGTGAAATTTCATGTCTGGCTTACAATGTTTAATGAATGATGAATGGCAGAACTGGTACTAGAATTAGCAGATTCTTATTCTTAATGTGATATGTAACATCTAGCTTTATAATTAATATTTATCTATATGGTGTATAAACTATATATAGTGTATATACTACAGTTAACAGAGCTGTTGGCTAATTCATACATTTTTTATTAAATACAGTATTTATGTATTTCCATGTTCCCTTTCATGGGAACTTCGAACTGCGTCCTCTAGGGGGCGCTATGGGGAACGCCTCGTCGTGACCCGTGTCTGAAGCATACATTGAAAAAACACCAACTCGTTGGCCGGCGACAGCCATGACGTCACTACCGGTGCGACTAACCTAGAGGACGCAGTGTCTCATTCCCTACTCAGGGAACCATGATTACACAAGTAACCTGAGACGTTTGTTTACTACTTTATTTGGTGTTTTGGGATATTCACACCAAAATTAAATTTGTGTTATTTATTCACCCTCATGTCATCCTGTATGACTTACTTGCTTCTGTGGAACACAAAAGAAGACATTTTGAAGAACGTTATAAAAGAAAATCAGGTACACTAGGGTAAATAAATTGTGACTGTTTTAATTTTAACTATCCCTTTTTACCATTTTAAATTGTGTGGATGGGGAGGACATACAAATAAAGTAAATTTGATTAACACTTTATTATTATTATTATTATTATTATTATTATTATTATTATTATTAAATCATGCCTGGGGAATGTTCTGAGGAGTTGTGTTGTGTTTTTGTAAAAATTTGTAAAAACTCAAAGATATGTTATACTAAATTTGATTAACACAATATAAAGTAATGCACAAAATTTAAATGTGCATCTTTTCAATTCGTGTTAACAACCAACTCTGGTAGTGCGTTGAGTTTCAACAGCACCATACTTGACATTGTTTTACACCGTTTAGAAATAACCACTGGGTTTCTAAACTATTTGAATTTGTAGCATGCAAATATGGGAATATTACATAAGAACTTGGCACCCATATAGCACAAAAACAAAACGGAAACAAACGCTGAAACATCACTCTTAACACTCCCCCGATCTCCCATAGCGCACTGAGTTGATAATATTTACTGTATATATGCAGCATCGACAGTTTAATATTGCTTGTTCTCGTTCGATAAGAAATCCACGATAATCCGATATATTTTCTTAACTGCATGTCTGCTGTGATACTTTCATAACGGTTTAGAAACACATGCACATAAACCCTCCATAAAATACCTCGACATTTTGCACTTGGTGCGCATTGAGTGCGCATGCCGCAAAGGCACACACAATCCCTCTGGCCATGTGGGTGTCCACCTCTGTAATCCCAACAGATCGATCTACTCTGCATTCAATATGGGGAGTAATTGCCCCTCAACGCGACAAAATGCGCAGCGCATTGGTTGCGCAGACTGCAGCAGCACACATAGGCCCCAGTGACACTTGGTGCTGCAGCCCATTGAAAAGGCGGGAGGACACCGGTTCGTTTTGATCCTGGATTTGAGATTAAACAATCCTGATTGCCACAAATCAAAACCTGGACTGTAATTAGTGAACGCGGACATGGTTCCATGCATCAGAGACAAATTAAACAAACAATTATATCTGTCCTGGGTAACCGCTTCTCGGAAGCTCACTTTAAACCTTAAGTTTACTATGACACGCACACGGGAACCAGTAAATAAAACCAATGTACTAAAGCTGTCAGACGCAATTAAGAATGCAACGCAACGATGTTTAGCCTATTGCGATTTGTCGGTGGTGAGGGCTTTTCCTGAAACGAGTAAACTTTGTAATTATAGGAACATTGGGAATCAAATGTAAATCCAAAGCATCAACAACGAACACGTGAAATAAGCACGTTTACCATTGAAAATAAATAGTTTTAATTTTATGCTCTCAAAAAGCTAAATAAAATAGAAAAAAGCAAATCGTTTATAAAGAATAATATGCAATATACTATTATAATAATATTATACTATTATATTATTACTATTTAGCTATAGAATATTATTGTAGCCTAATATGTCATTATTATTATTAGGCATTTAAACATTGATTATTATTATTATTATTATTATTATTATCAGATTTAAATATTGACATTTTGTGGACAATCTGAGGTCGTTTCTGATTTATGGACAGGCCGCGGGATTGCGGGCGACGCTTACACTCAATCACCAATTCAAGCTCCTCCGATATCACGCTAAACTGAGGGCATAATGTGTCCACTCGGGCTGAAAGCCGGTGTTAGGTTGCAGCGCAGTAGCATCTGCCTAATAGATATTGCAGAGTCTGAACACAAATGGGCTTCTCTTAGTGTATGTTGTATCACTTCACACCGCTCACAGGTAGAGTCTGTCTGTATAAATGCTTTATCTTTTAAATGGCCGCATTTAAACGTCCCGATGAAAATCACTGAGAGTAATGTGCTTAGCTTTAGCTTATTTTATAATTTAACACATATAATATAATATAATATAATATAATATAATAATATTCGTTTATATTTTGTCAAGGATTCTTACTGCATGTATGTAGCTAATTGGAAGGTGACATAACTGAAAGGGATAAACAATGAATCTCGTTTCAAAGTCATTTCTGATTTTCATGAATTCTGTCAAATAAAATTAAAACCATCAAAAAACAATTATTACTTTGCAAAGATTGGAATTACTAAATGATTAATTTTGAGGTGTGTGCAATATCCTGATTAAATTAATCTTCAAATCATGCACTAAACCTCTAAATTAGAGTAATTTAGGAGATAATTAGTTCTGCATTAAGTCTGTTGTGGAGACCAGTATAATCTGGTTTTATTGCTTTACATCTGTGGTACAGAGTTACAAATAATTATTGTGTGAATATTATGCAAATTCCCACCAGGCGTCACACACATCCTCAGGGTAACTTTGAGAAATAATTCAAATGAATGAATACAAATAAACGTGCATTAGATATAATAAATTTAACCTATAATATTATCAAAAACACAATTCATGATAATAATTTGCATTTGCCGTGGGCTGCAGTGGTTTATAAATGTATAAAGGCGTTTGTGAGCGAGCAAAGAGAATGAAGAGTTGGTGGGTGGCTGTGTGTGTGTGTGTGTGTGTGAGTGTGTGTGTTGTGTGTGTGTGTGCGTGTGTGTGTGTGTGTGTGTGTGTGTGTGTGATGCTTCACTTGTGGTCTCCATGGTCTTGTACAGCACAGATGAAGGTTACTGACTCTGTGTCAGTGTGCAAGTTACTGTTTCTGTGGTCACATTGGCCTCTGTCTAGGTTTAAGTATCTGTGTGTGTTGCTGAGTGCAGACTTTGGCTCAGTCTTATTCTGATATATTACCATTTGATCCTTCAGTTTCCTGTCATTGATCAAGCCCCACCTATTCAGCTGATGAGCCAGAGGAGAAACCCGATCACCTAACAAGAAAGAAGCAGAGGAGAGAGGGAGCATAAAATGAGAGAAATGGTACAAGCCTTCACCACAGCCTCTTCTTTTTTCCCTTTTTACCTAAAATACATCCCCCTCTGTGCATCTCAGTTTTACTGTATCTACTTTACATTTACACATACTTAATTCATCAGCGACAGCTTGTCAGTATAAGCTGCCTGTTCTTTGCATTTAGAAATAGTATCAGGCAATTGACAATATTAAGCTAATATTAAGCATCTTCCCAAACTGTACAAAGTGTTGTAGTGTTCACACACAGCAAAATCATCTTGTATATGTCGCTTAACCACAGACAGGCATCACAGTATCATATTTACTCTGTGATTATTAGCTGACAGATCTGTCATTAAGGCAAATATCAGGAAAGTGGCAATTATAGTCTGTGGACTCCTTTTACACTGACATACATCATCCTTGTCTTCTCTTTTACGCTTTTGAACACACATACACACTCACACAAACACTGAGACACTGAGTGACAGTAGATCAGCTAGCCTGGCCCCGTGGAGGTCATAACCCACACCATCTGGATCTGATCGCACTGTGCACAGAAAGGTGCTGGGTTTGCAAGGTATAGCCCCTTTGGCAGTGGGAACCTGCTATGCAGTCGATCTCATATTCGACTGTTGAAGCTGGCCATCTGAATGCATATTCATACTGTTCGGTGCTGCTGAAAGACAAGTGTAATGTTTGGAACTAGTGCATGGAAAATTCAGATGTTGGCGCCTTTTTTGTGATGATTTAGCCATCCAATGAAAAATGTGAAAAACATTATATTCTTCCATGTGAAGAGGGAAAGAAAACAATGATGGATTTTTTGTGCTTTTTCTGTAAAAGAAAAAGTTAACCTGCGTCTGTCAGGAAGCTGTTCAAGTTTACGCTTGGCCTCAAGAGCTCAAGTCATTCACTCCAGCAGTGTATCTGTCAATTACTGTCCTTATCGGCTTACAACTGGAGAAGGTGAGCGAGTGACAAACCTCTCTTTGAGGTTTTAGGTTACACAATATGGTAACAACAAACTGTCACTGGGCTTTAGAGGCCTCATGTAGGAACCTGGGGAATTCCCACCCTGGGTCAATGCACATAGTGTCTGATTCCAGAAGGTTTGGACAAGATTATCTCTTTGCAATGAACTTAAACTTCAAGATCTGTGTAATCAGTGCTCAACAGGGGTGTTCAGTCCCTATAATGCTGTGAATGCTACGCATACCAAAGTCATTTGAGAGAATGAGTTCGGGGACTGGTTAAAAATTAACATTAGTATAAATTCCATATTCATGAAGTGTAACATACTGTTGGCTTCCATAATAAAATTGGAATTTGCATAATCACCTGTAAATTATTTATTTGCCAAACAATGGTCATTTTCTGCAAATTTGGGACAGTTACGGAGGGAATACGGGTGAGTGCAGGAAAAAAAAGCAAAAAAATTGTAACTGTATATTTTCATGTTTTCTCAAGCAAAACGAATTTTGAAAGTCTAATAAATACATATCTTCATTTTAAACATACCTTAAAGACAAAATATGTTGAAGGTACACATTATGTGGTAACATACTTGAGCAAACTAAACAAAGTAAATGTATTTAAATTTGCTTATGCTTGACAAATCTTGCATTTGTGACATATATATATATATATATATATATATATATATATATATATATATA